TACATACCCCTACCCACAAGTATATATACATACCCCTACCCAAAGGTATAAATACATACCCCTACCCACAAGTATATATATATACTCCTATCCAAAGGTATAAATACATACCCCTACCCACAATTATATATATATACTCCTATCCAAAGGTACATACCCCTACCCACAAGTATATATACATACCCCTACCCAAAGGTATAAATACATACCCCTACCCACAAGTATATATACATACTCCTACCCAAAGGTATAAATACATACCCCTACCCACAAGTATAAATACATACCCCTACCCACAATTATATATATATACTCCTCCCCACAAGTATAAATACATACCCCTTCCCACAAGTATATATACATACCCCTACCCTCGGGTATACTAACATGCCCCTAGCCACAGGTATATATACATACCCCTACCCTCGGGTATACTAACATACCCCTACCCACAAGTATAAATACATACCCCTACCCACAAGTATATATACATACCCCTACCCACAAGTATATATATACATACTCCTACCCACAAGTATATATACATACCCCTACCCATAGGTATATATACATACCCCTACCCACAAGTATATATACATACCCCTACCCACAGTTATAAATACATGCCCCTCTCTCTCTCAGTACAAGTACTGAATCCTGCTGTTATATATAGTTTGTATCCTGTTAAAGCTATGTTCCTACATTGCTACATAGAATTACTGTAATCTTATCACCACATATGAAGTTGTTTGCTGTAACCCTAGTGCTATTTGTGCAAGTAAATGCTGTATTCAAGGTATGAATATATACTGTATAATGACCGTAAAAACTTGATGTTTCTTGTCTCAGTGAATGTTGATCTATATACTCTAAGGGAGTGTGTTTATTAGGGTTCATGTATAGGTTCCTTTTGTTGACTATAAATGTTGCCCTAACAATGAGCTATTGTAAATGTTCTGGGTGTTAAAAAAATGTTAACCTTGACTTGATAGCTGAAGGTCGTGAGGAGCTGTTGAAGATCAATTTGCGAGAAGTAAAACTGGCCGACGATGTGAATCTGACTGCTATTGCGCAAGAGTTGACGGGATACTCTGGTGCTGATATCACCAACGTCTGCAGGTAATGTGTTGTAATCATTAAAATTAATTATCCCCTCGCAACGAAAGTTCGAGGGGATCTAGGATTCCGCCCGTACGTACGTTACACTCTTTGTCATCACTCTACCGACTTCATTCCTTAATGGAATTTCATGAAACTTGAAACCAGTGTTAAGTATGACAATATGTTGAACAAGTTCCGGTTACTGCGTTAAAGGTCAAGGTCTATTTTACTATTTTTACCAAAAAACCAACTTCATTCCTTAATAGAGTTTCTAGAAACTTCATACAAGTGTTTGGTATAGCAATGCCTTGAACAACTTCTCCTTTCGGGTTTGTTGAAGGTCAAGGTCACTGTTACTATATTCTGAAAAAAATGTGTGAATGCGAGGGGATTTGTATCACTTGTGATGCCTTGTTTTTGTTTTATTTGACAGTTCTGTAATTTGTGTATTTATCCTAGTTTAGTTGTAAAAGAAAACAACCTTTGTGCTGCATACAAATGATTTCCAAATTTTTAGCTGGATCTTTTCCAAACTTCCTGATACTATGTGTGTCAGAGTGAAATGATTAAAGGAATTTGTATAATTTGGATTACTACCCCACTCATACACTTTTTAATAGCCATCCACATTAACATGTGTACTTTGTGAGGAAACTCAAAACAAAAGAGTTGAGAAGTAAGTGTTATTTTCTCAGTTGAAAGACAATGTACTTCTTGCTTTGGATTATAAAACATCAATAACACAAACTTTGAAAACTGACATTGATGATGTGGGTCTCTTGTTATCAGTATGCTTTAAATTCCTTTTATTGTGATGTTATAGAGATGCAGCTATGATGTCATTCCGGCGTAGAATCACAGGCCTGACCCCTGAGCAGGTGCGTCAAATTCCGAAAGAGGAGCTACAGTTGCCACCAACAATGGAGGATTTCAAAGAAGCAATAAAGAAAGTCAACAAGAGTGTTTCTCAAGCTGATCTTGAGAAATATGAAAATTGGATGAATGAGTTTGGCTCAGTCTAAGCAATATCAATCAGGAGTTCTTCTGCACAAAAAAAAAATTCATTCTGAGCTTTGAAAACTATTTGCGATAAAAGGGCGTTTAGGGCTTTTCAGTTAATGGAAAATATTATGGAAAAGTTGTATCTGAGGAAAGTTGACAAAAGAGTTGATGGACAGACCTGGAAATACTGAAGTTGAATGAAGAATCCACCGTAATCTGAACCAAACTGTTCCCGTCTTTTTGTGTTTGTAAGTTTTGATTCTGAACTTGAAGATGATGTATATTTGATAAGAGTGGAGGGCTTATCAACTACAAAGAATAACAGAAGTACAGTGTATTTATTAACAATGTTTGATATAAAACTCTGTGATACCTATCAACTGTGGACAGCTAAGAATATAATTGTGTAGGAAGATTTATGCATCAAGAAAAATATAAATCGTAATTCCTTTTTGAGATTGTTGAAAGTGCTGTCTGTGATTGCATGGTCTTTGCCTTACTATTTAGTTATGTCCAAATCTCATGATGAATTTTCCAAATTTGGATCCAATGTAAACAAATCGCTTGGGTATCGAATTTAATAGTGTACATACATGAAGTAAAGAGGTACGGACATTGATGAAAACAAAAGAACGGATGTGTAACACATCTGCATAGGAATATTTATGTTGACAGTTCACAAATTTTACTTTGCATGCAACAGATGATTGTTCGTCATTTAATACTTGCACTTGGAATGGTTTCGTTGATATAGTTCAATCATCCATTATATAAATGAAGCTAACTTCTTTCAGAGTACAGTAGAATCTCTGGATGGTGGCCGTCCAAATAATGCAGATGTTTCAAGGACTGCCTGATCTTTGTTTCAAAAGTTCCTATTATAAATAGGTATTCTTTTGTCTTTCCGTTAATATTTACATACCCATCACCATAGGTCTGAGATTGTTTGATTGTCTATTTCAACATGTTTCTTCATGCATACACTATTTATATGTAAATTCTTACCATTTCCATTTATATAATGTACATAATCAATTTTCATATATAAAATGGTGATATTGTCTTTTGTATGTATTGTTGTGTTTTACATGTTTGTTGTTGAGAAGTCAGCGAAGAAAGTCTTCCGAGTCTGACTTATAACCGTTATCCCTGTTAAATTGAAGAGGCCAACAGTAGAATTAAGATCACTTAAAGTTTGTAGATGTTAACCCTTTCACCCCTATGTAACTTGAGTGAACTCTTAACATGCATTAATTCGGAAGAGTCCATTATGGTCTACAGTGGTGAAAGGGTTAATTACAGATGTATATTGATAGTTCCTCACCTTAGCAAGCTACAGGCTGCATATAAAATACTCCATACTGAACTTGAATATTAGAATTCCTTTAACACATTTTGATATCTCGGAGCTTGAAAAGTGGGTCAATGTCGTGCATTTCGACTAACTTTGCAATGTTCAACCCTAGCCAACTACAGGCCTCATATCTCGACTCATAATGTGACATAGGTGGTCCCACGTCAGTTCTGATGCATTCTGTACCTACAAAATATATCTGTATTGTTTGATGGCAGGCTTGCATCCTTGCATATGGTACATGATGTGTCGATGAAATTTATCTGCATGCAAGTACCATTCTAAACAAGGTACATATTACTGTCAACTTTGATTAGTTCTTTATTTGTGTGACAATGCTCGTAACTGTCACCATTCCAATATATGCTATTAATGATACTGTATTAATATCGCCCCGGAATATCCCAAGGTGTGTGGTCTACTGGCGCAGTGAATAATGCACTCGCCTTTCAACAAGACGACCAGGGTTCAATTCCCCGATAGGATGTGAAAAGGTATGGTGTCACCTGCCTGACCATGTGGGTTTTTTCTGGGTTCTCTGGTTTCCTCCCATATTGAGACCCCCAGCACACTAATTCCGGCCAACAAGAGTAATTAATATATGCTGCAATGAATTCTTTCATGATTGTTGTAAAATGAATAAAGTTTATATTAAGATACTGAAGTGAAAAAGGAATCAAAACAAAATAAATATTGTTTTTGAAACAAAGTAACGTTTTTATTTTGAAGTAAGTTGAAAACAAATAAATGAACAATATAAGTTGTGTGCAACATAAATTGGCCAAGAGTACATTTGCATGCACAGTGGCTGATAGCTGTTAGAAGGGTTCCTAGACAGGATAAAGTTAAATCAATCAAAAGGTACCAAGCAGAAAGAATAGAAAATCTTCCTTGACCATGAAATGCCACTCTTGACAAATCGTATATAGGCACCAGAAAGTCTGGCAATACTAAGGTAAATAATAACAATGTACTAATAAAGCATTAGGCAAGCACACAAACACTCACACCAAGGATGTCCTACTCATATTCTCAAATACCTTATGTAGATTGGACCCAAATCGTTGGCAAAATCGGAATAAGGAATTTCAATAGGCAATACTAGTACAGCACAAGAATGATTGGAATAGGACAAATTACAATAAGTCAGATTGTGCCTCTGTCATAGCCTAACAAGGAACTGGTCCTAAATAATTTAACCTCATGCACTCAACTTCAAACACTCCACAACAAAGCATACATTAAACTTTCCTGAAGTAAATTTTTGGGCTAGGTGTGCAAACATACAAATTCTTACTTCAATATAAATTGATCTCAATATGTTAATAGGCCCTTTTCTTTGCTTTTCATATTACCAGGTATGATGGTGCTGTTTGATAGTTGTCCAAATTCATGTTTCACAAACACTTTGGTCTCAATAATAACTGTTACAGAACTTATTATAAACCCTTGCTATATCATGATTAGATGATTAATTACGGGTTTAGTCCAAATTAATGAACATTCTTGAAAGAATATGTGTCCAACAAACATTTTAGACATCTTGCAAACAAAAACTATAGACATCTCGTTAACAAAAACTAGAGACATCTCGTAAACAAAAATTATGATCCTTTGTGTACAAATCCTTCCCCAATAACTGGACTAAAAATTACTTGCTTTATCGCTACAAATCATTTCCAACGGACGCAAACTATCATAGAGCTGTTCACATTTTCCATGATAAATACATAACAATGTCACTGATTCTGAAATAAATATGCAAGGCTAATAAAAAAGTCAACCTTCATCTAATAACCCCAGGTAAGCTCAAAAATCCCATCTCTCAAAATTTTCGCGAAACACATACAATGTCAAATTAAGGAAGCTAGTACATTGAAGCTCACTTTTCATATAAAATTAACAAGAGATATTTACGAGTTCCAATAATTACTTCACTTTTATCCTTGTTTTTGAAACGGGCATTTATTTGATTAAAGAATGTGTGTATTATTCCATTTTTTTTCTGCAAGACTAATTTATATTCTGTATTCCACATTATGGCAGGCCTGTAAAGCACACAAAACAAGACTAATTCTCTTACTTAAAATAAATTAAGAATTTTCACAGCATGCAGACTAAAGAAAGTACACATGGGAAAAATGCTCAGGAAATAAGATAAAATTACTTATAATACGTTACCAGAATGAATATCATAAATACATCATATAAATTAACACTATACATCATTTGATCAGAGTTGACAATACAATGTACTTACAACTAAGTTGTACATACTATGAGATTACGTCAATCAAATACAGCAGAATTTCAATCAAAATATATCTGCACCAAATATTCCCTCTTAAAAGTCCGTGCACCAATATTATCATAAGATATGGAAAACAACAGAAGCTTCAAGCATCACAACGGTGAAGTTTTCTGATTATGCAGACACCAATAAGAGTTCAATATTCAATAAATATTCCCCTCCCCCCCCCCCAAGTATGTGATTTCCCTGTCCCAAACATGTGATTCAGAGGATTTGAAACCATGAATAGTCATATACCAGTATTTATCACCTACAGGAATAGAACAGAGGTTTTATATATAATTACTACTACCGGGTAAGTGTATATTTTTTTTCCAATAACCAACACGTTTCTATTCCAAGCTAATTAGGAAATCATTAATCAACTTTTAGAGGGGTCAGACTACCTGCATAATTTTGAAAAAAAAGAAATTCCGACAGAATTTTGGCAATCTAGCTTATAATCCATAAAAAAAAATCACCAAAAAATATCACCAGGACATCAGGTCTATCTATTTTCTTTCATCAATGGTCAGATATTCTAAACAACATCACTGAAGTCAGCTCCAACAATAATATACTAGTCTGACTCAATAACATGTTCTGAAAAAACCAAGCAACATCGCTTCTATAGATACAGGGGTGAGTTACTCGGCTGAGTTAATGCCCAAATTCATCTCAATATGATAACTAAATACATTACACTACAACAAAATTCTTAGCTCATCGGTTCATATGTAAAGGTATGCTATACAGGGCTGCCTGTGATAGTTCTTTCTCACTCCCCAAAAAAAATCAGTAATTTTGGATTGAATGTTCCTGGTGCTCTTCTGGGCTGCACCTGCTGTCCAGCTCTCTGTCCCCAATTCCTTGAGTCCGTGTTCCAGTGCTGTGCAATGACACACCACATGGCCCTGCTCCGTGTCTCTGTTTTATTCAGTCTGCGTCCCAGCGCTGCGCCGCTCGGCCGTCTGAGTTCCTATACTGATGAGAGGGACGGCAGTGGAGGACAGACCCAACATGTGCATCAGGTTTCGCCTGATGGACGTCCCAGAAGTGGTAGTATCATTTGGTTTCTCCTTCTCCGACTCTTTCTTAGCTCTGTTAAACATGTGAATGTAAAACACATATCAACAAACTATTCTCTCATAAATATTGACATAATTATTTTTACAAATTGACAAAAGGATAGCAATTTTCCAATTTCATGAAAAAACATGTACATGTAGAACATAACAAAATGACAATAGCTACAATTCATATCGGAACATCTCTATCGATCAAGACCAATTCACATCGGAACATCTCTATCAATCAAGACTGATTCACATCGGAACATCTCTATCAATCAAGACCGATTCATATCGGAACATCTCTATCAATCAAGACCAAACAGTTCTGATTCTATTCGGATTCTTTGAGACAATTACCTGGGCGATGTAAAAAGGGTTGATTTCACTCTATTGTAATTTTGAGAAAAGCCCTAAATTGATGCAGTGTAGACTGTAATTTTGAGATTCAACTCTGTAATGTTACTTGACTAGAAGTGTTGTTAGCATGTTGTATTTATAAGTTTACCAGCAGTAAAATAGCATTGCTATTATATGAAGCTTGAGCAAAATGCTGCCACATTTTAATGTTGAGAGAGATTCATGGCATCACATTGTTACTTGTGATATTATATATGAAGAATACTAAATTTAGAGGATAACATGGCAAGAAACTTAGATACAGTAGTTCCCACATTCACCTGATTGTGTTTTATATATGTCTGTCGTCACATGAATGTTAAAAATCTTACAGAAAATTCCTTCAGATAGACTATTGTTGTGATGTTGACCAACGAAAGACAAATCAGAAACTCTAATGGTGACAGAATCTTGCAATATCCTGATAACTGCTGTAATACATGTAGCTTGTCTGTGTTCCCTGAAGAAAGACGTATTCCAATTTTTCCCTAATGAAAATGTAACCTACCCTGGCCTACAGATGTGTAGGTCTCCTCTGTTCGTCCCGTAGATGATGCCATCACCAACTCCTGGTAACCAGCGGGCCGAGTTCACGCTCACATGGGTACGAATGTCCATATCACACGGGTGCATGATGTCCGACACATGCTAAATGAAAAGTAAAGAAATATTCACTTGCTCAATTACATAAAAATATTTCGAAAGTAATAATATCAATATATCAAGTTTTTCCCCCAATTTGGCAATTGGTATATTTCAGGGTTTTATTAATAGTATACATTGAACAACTAAAAGTGTTGTCTGAGGTATCAATGCCTCTTTGATAACACAAGAATGACACAACTAGCAGTCCCCTTCCTCCAGGAAAATTTACCAAGAAGAGAAGTTTTGTGTCTAAAGAGTGCAGTAAAACAAATATCATTACAGGAAGAAGACAGCAAAACATGTACAACAATGATTGTAGCAGTTCAGGAAATGTTTCTGTGTGACGTTTCAGTGACAAGTACAATATGTACCCTGTCATCCTCGATAACTAGGGGTTAAGCTCACGTTCGCTCTCTACACCTCTGGAATATGTCATAGGAAAATTGAAGGCTCGGTATGGGCCACCTTGTAGATGAGACAAGAAGACTAGTTTGATTCTTTGATGTACCTCAAATGAATCTCGAGGTCATGTAACGGTAAAAATTGACAGGCTTTGAAGTCGGGCTTCTCTCCTTTGCAATCTTCAAAAGACAGGTATCAGTCTAGCGATTGGTCAGGTGTTTTTTTACCCGAGACCAATCAAACAGCTATCTTCGTCCTTTCTATTTTGCTATGACATATTCCAGGGATGTAGAGCTCTAGAGCGAAAGCGAGCGTAACGCCTGGATATCGAGGATGGTACCCCGTTACCTTCATCAGGGTCTGGTCACTGTCTGAACATTTACTGTATACTGTCCATACTTACTAACCCTAGGAAAATGTTCCAAACATATCATTACGATGTGATTCATACCTGTGTCGATTTCTCTCCTGCCAGCTCACTTTCCATCTTGTACACTTGTGCTACAAGCTGAAAATACAAATGAAGCTATGCATAACAATTTTATCAACAATTTTGGGAAATAAGTAAAGAATATTCAACATAACCCAAGTGGCTATGTGAACCAAATACATGATAAATTCTACAGAGTAAATTAATGTTCTACTTTCTTGTTTTAACGACTTGTTATTGCTCCATTAATTGATTGGTAAATTAAGTAACTTTAACAACATGGTGTAGTCTTATATTGAGCTATAAATAATTGTCCCTGTATGTACGTGCAACGAGATATGAGACATTCCAAAATTAAGTTCTATCCAATAAACAATCTGTATCAAGCCTTCTGGAGATCCATGGAGAACAATATACGGTGAATTCCTTGCCAAATGGCTGCTTCATAAAACTTGTAACACTGGAGAAAACAACTGAGATCCTAGGCTCACAACGTTTCAGAACGTTTCCTAGTTTACTCGGAGGGTTCTGGTACAGAGCCTCTATAAAATAATAGTCAACCATTTGTCTGTCAACATTCTAGATTTGTTTCAGTTCTGAATGTTCATCTGACCTTCAACTATTCAGTCAAATTTGTTCCTATTAAATTAACTATACTGACCTGATTAGAGGTAAAGACCCATGATAGTCTTTTGGCAGCAAGTCCAACCATAACAAAATTTGTCCTGGGAGATATGCTCACGGAGATNTGATGAGACAAGAAGACTAGTTCGCTTCTTTGATGTACCTCAAAAGAATCTCGCTGTCGCGCAACGTTAAAAATTGACAGGCTTTGAAGTCGGGCGTCTCTCCTTTGTAATCTTCAAAGGACAGGTATCAGCCTAGCGATTGGTCAGGTTTTTTTTACCCGAGACCAATCAAACATCTATCTTCGTGCCTTCAATTTTGCTATAACATATTCCAGGGGTGTATAGAGCGAAAGTGAGCGTAACCCCAGGATATCGAGGATGGAACACTGTTACCTTCATCAGGGTCTGGTCACTGTCTGTACATTTACTGTATACTGTCCATACTTATATTACTAACCTGAGGAAAATGTTCCAAAATAATCATTACAATGTGATTCATACCTGTGTCGATTTCTCTCCCGCCAGCTCACTTTCCATCTTGTACACTTGTGCTACAAGCTGAAAAAACAAATGAAGCTATGCATAACAATCTTATTAACAATTTTGGGAAATAAGTAAAGAAAATTCAACATAACCCAAGTGGCTATGTGATCCAAACACATGATTAATTCTACTGAGTAAATTAATGTTCTACTTTCTGGTTTTAACGACTTGTTATTGCTCCATTAATTGATTGGTAAATTAAGTAACTTTAACAACATGGCGTAGTCTTATATTGAGCTATAAATATCTGTCCCTGTATGTACGTGCAACGAAATATGAGACATTCCAAAATTAAGTTCTATCCAATAAACAATCTGTATCAAGCCTTCTGGAGATCCATGGAGAACAATATATGGTGAATTCCTTGCCAAATGGTTGCTTCATAAAACTTGTAACACTGGAGAAAACAACTGAGATCCCAGGCTCACAACGTTTCAGAACGTTTTCTAGTTTACTCGGAGGGTTCTGGTACAGAGCCTCTATAAAATAATAGTCAACCATTTGTCTGCTAACATTCTAGATGTGTTTCGGTTCTGAATGTTCATCTGGCCTTCAACTATTCAGTAAAATGTGTACCTATTAAATTAACTATACTGACCTGATTAGAGGTAAAGACCCATGATAGTCTTTTGGCAGCAAGTCCAACCATAACAAAATTTGTCCTGGGAGATATGCTCACGGAGATGGCGTTAGGCCCAAAGCTTTTTGTAAAGAGGCACTGTCCTCGAGACTCTGGCACCAGGGAGAAGATAGCTAGGATGTTGTCATCCGGGAAACCTCTATGGCTAGGTACAAATGTTCCCAGTAGGGTGCGGTCTTGAGAAATATCACAGCTGGCATCATTATGGAGTTTACAGTGAGGAACAATCACGTCTACTGTGGCTGGAAATATGACAGACATATAAAAGCATATAAAAAGAAAACACATGTAGTTATAAATAATTTACAGCTTGTAATGTATGAAAAAGAGGACAATAACTGACAAAACAGCAGGTTAAGCATGCAGTAATTTACAGTAGGAAGAATGAGCTTCCTGGCCCATACCATGTCTGCAATGTCATAAGATTAAGTGACAAAAACCCAGCGAAAGCTTTTTTTTCTTTCTTGTTCAGGTATGTAACACTTACGATCAGTGATGTCGGGTATGTCACACTTGGTGAAGTCCCAGGCCTGTATTCTGTGGGTGTGGTTGATTATATTATTGGCCACCGCTGGCTCCCCTCTACCCATGAAGGCACCTACAACATGAACATGGTAATGGATAAACCTGATATGTGAACATTACCTGGCCATTAAAACTTTATCACCTTAGAATTTAATAGTTGCCAGGTTTTTAATGATGAGCTGAACTATAACAAAATAACTGGATATAATCATAAGACTTGAATACATAATTCATTTAATTGTTCCAGTAATAATAGAATTTAAAGTCACTTTACTCTTAGAAGTCAAGACACACACTTATCAGTCTTTGATATCTCATAAAGTTTTAAAATTAATTAACGAATAACTAGGATTATTTTTGAAGTTATGCACTTTATACTAAACAAATTGTGTGCTTAATTCGCAGATATCTGCAATTCAATGTGTTTCTTTGTTTAAACTCAAAATGCTCTGAAGAAGAGGCTCACTACAATGGAGTTAGGGTACATTCGCATATCCGGTTTAAACGGTTGAACCTGTACAGAAAACGACA